GCATTTTTTTCTGGGGGCTTGGGTGGAGCTGTCACTAGGAAGTCAATGGGGTTGTAGGGGACAGACCTGGGTTCTGGGAAAGGTGGAAGTGAAAAAGAATGAGTCTCCAACTTGAAGCCCATGTCTAGGGTACAGTAGTGCCACCAAGGAGATTTTGGGAGATTCATGACCACTCCATCCACTATCAAATGCCAAGAACTCTCCTTAGCAGAGGACATCTCAGTCATAGCTTGTTGTATGAATATTTGTTCAGTCGGAAGCACTGAGACAAGGAACACAAGAGAAATTATTTTCACAGAGAATCACTGGATTCACTCAGACCCAGTGAAAAGGTAGAGTGTCCTGATCTCTTCTTTTATTACCATCCTACTGTACATACCTCTAAAGGGCTCAATACAGTGATATCATCAAAAGAAGTTACAGAGAGAACACTGAAGCAGTAAGGTACACTTTCTTTCCTTGTGTCTGCAAGTCAGTGGGTTTTGGCCTAGGAAATATATACAAAAGCCAAACCAAAAGTTTTCTTGGGCTACAAGCACCTGGGTTTGCATCTGAATAAAGATAAGGTGAGCTGGCAACTGGAATGTACATCCCAAAGACTAGGCTGAGCTAGTACCTGGAATCTACATGTCAAAGACCAGGCTGGGCTAGCACTTATGATCTACATACTACAAACAAACTAGGTAAGCACTTGGTATCTGTGAGAGAGGAAGACTGACAATTTCAGTATACTGAAATTTATATTATTTACTGAAAGCAACTCCCCACCCCAAACAGAGCCCCAGCAGCAGAAGACCTCCAGTTCCAGCCACAGCCATGCTTAAGACCACTCTCCACATGTTCAGACGAGCCCCACTCATGAAGGAACCAGCAGAGGAACCCAGGTGTGCGGGACCTGAGGTGTAGATCTCCAAGCCTGCTCGGATTGGGACTGGGCCTCCTCCACCCAGTCCCTCATCTTCCAGTATGTAGGCGTTACACCCACCAACTGCCCCTGGATGCCGTGTAATCCCATCAATGGCCAAGACCCAGAAACTATAAAACCCAGCTCTCAGAAGCACGTGGCTGCATTTGCAGCTGTGCAACATCTTATTATCTAGTTCAAACTCTGGAGAACCTGACAGGCTATCAAAAGTATCCTGCCCACACGGCAGAGTCTGGCAAACTCCCCGGGGCATATTCTATAACCCAAAGACCAGTAACAATAATGGGTTTCATTTTCCTGACCCTTAAAGAGCCTCGAATGTGGCACTTTTTTAAATCTTAGGACGAGAACAAAGGAGACGTTAGTGGCAATCGATGACCAACAGGATGACAGTGATACAGTGATACGGAAAGCAACTTAAAGAAAAAGATGTTCAGCCTCATCCAAACCAGTCAGGACACATGAGAAATCTCGCCCATTTTCATGGGGCCCTTGTTCCTGCTGGTGTGTGGTACAGTCTACATGGGCTCATCCTAAGGGCTTAGTTCGGCCCCCACAATAGCTTTACCTGAATAGAAAGCTATAAAGCCTCTGCTGAAGCCTTAGTGCTATCACTCCTTGAGCTGGATAACAAGCTGTCCTGGGATCCTATGGGAGGAAAGCAGCCAAGCCAGCCACCATACTTGAATTTCACCAGGGACAGTCATGGGAACAGAGCCAAGAGTAAGCCCTGAGCACACCTGGGTGAGACCCAAAAAAAAAAAAATGAAAAAATAGATTGCATTTTAATGATTTCAAATTAGTACCCTTGCATAGATAGAGTACAACTGAAAGACTGTAAATGTTTTATACACAGTTCCTAATTAACTAGTCTAATTGTCCAGAGACAGAGAATGGGGAGGTAAGTACAAAGGAGTGGCCAGAATGTTAGTAGGTCCCAGACCATATTCCACAGAGGGAGATACTTAAAAGCAGTATGGATCCAACCACAGACAGTCTTGGCTATGTTCCTAATTACAACTCGATAAACAGAGCATTATGCTTTTAAACACAATATGCTGGCAGGGAAGATATCCTTACAATGAGTCTATGCTTGTAGTTTTCTATTTAAAATGCTCCATCCATTTAACTAAAGCATGAGTTCAAGAAAAATTTACAGCTGAATATTTTTCTTGATTTTTAAAACCACAAATTTGGTTTACAGCACTATATTCTTTATAAATAAATAAGCAAGTGATGTTTTTATAATATAAAAAAGGTAAGCTGTAATTAATACATGCATAATGATTATTTACGATTTAATAGTAATTACTATTTTAATAAATTTAATAAATTAAAATACCATTTTGTGTATTTAAGTGCAGTTTGTTTTTATTATTATCATTATTATTTTGGTGTTTGGATAACAACTGGTGGTCCTTTAGGCACTACTCCTGATTCAGCATTCCATAGCACTCCTGATGCCCTGCACTTTTAGTGTAATTTTAATTATAATAGATATTTAAGGAAAGTATAATGGATTGTTCTTCCTAAAAGATTCACTTAAGTTAAATCTTCTAGACTTGGAACAATCAGACTGTAACAATAAAGTTGTCTTTCAATTTATTATTATTGTAGTGAGCTTTATAATGGACAATTAAACTGAAATCAATTTGCCTTTGTTCTCTGTTGCTTGGTTTATTGATATTAGTCCAAATATTCAAACTAACACTGCGTATTGAATGTATTCCAGGGCCCGGTGAGTTTTGGCTATTAAAGTGTGCTCAAGTATATGCTGTTGAATTTGAAGTGTTTGCTACTTTTTTTGTACTCACTGACCTTTAAGCATGCATCTGATATTATTGTCAAATTTTTACCAGGTAAGTTTTTTTCTCTTCTGTTGTGACTAAATCTATGCTAGGGCTGAATCAAATATAAACGTGAGAATTAAAATAATGATAAATATAGAAAATATAACTATACAGCTGTCTATAATAGAAAGATAACTGCTGGCTTTAAGCCAAGCTACTTGCAGAAATCCGATGATTTTATTCTCAAAACAAATTGATCCACATATTCATTTTTACTGCATATATTTTGTAATAAGAAACATTCAGCTTTTCCAGATACCAGAACTTAAATTATTTTCATTTTCAGTCTGATAATGCCATATTCTCTTGTCCACGACTACTTTAATAATTAGAACATGATTGCTAAGCTCAATGGGAAATCATTTGCAGATATTCATTATAAAATATATATACACCACTCACCTAGAAAAGTACAGGACTATCTATTGAAATGCATAACTCTAGGACAGAATGACCCTTTCACCAGAAGCACATTTTTATTATCTTTTCTTAAAAGTAAAAATTAATCTAAGATGACTCTGATATCACTAATACCACAGAGCCCAAACACTCATTGTATTCTATAACTCTTGTATTGAACTAACAGCCTAGTTGGTGAGACTTGCCTAAGGGAGCCCCTGGGCACTGCTTGGGAATGGTCACGGTCTGGTCACTGTCCTCCCGTTGTTCATTGATTTGCTCGAGCGGTCCCAGTAACGTCTCCATCATGAGACTTGTTGTTACTGTGTTTGGCATACAGAATACTCACGGGGAGCTTGCCAGGCTCTGCCCTGCGGGCGAGATACTCTCAGTAGCTTGCCGAACTCTCCGAGAGGGGCAGAGGAATCGAACTTGGGTCAGCCATGTTGGCTGCGTGCAAGGCAAACACCCTACCGCTGTGCTATCTCTCCAGCCCCAGCTTGGGAACACTCTCCCCAAAAAGTAAAAGTAATCTAATAAGTCTATTTTCTCTAATAACTGACAAAATGTGAGAGTAGATAGAAATCCACTAATAAGTGGTCTGGAAGTCCCAGAATACCTTGAAATTCCCTTGGCATAGATCTTAAGTGTAGTATGTGGTTTGTCTGACTTCACCATCAGTCTATAATCTCCAAGATGACCCCAAATGAGCTTATATCATTTACTATTAGTACCCTTGGTTTTTTAACACACTTTGACTTTATCGTGTACTTAGTATTAATCTACCATAGACTATGATGTATAGTACAAAATCCATGAAGATTCACTACCTGATATATTCATTACACATAGCCAGTTTGCTGAAAATTCAGTTCTCCTCTGCTGCACCTGTTTTTTCATTAGATATCATTTCAGAAGGTCGCATGTATTTATGAAAAGTGCGATATAAGAGCTGAAAAGTTGAGAAGACATAAAATCAGTAATGCCTACTAAAGTGTGAAAAGAAGAGGGAAAAAAGGACTACAGAGAAAGAAATAGGAGTTTGCAAGAGAAGAGAGGGTGAAGAAGCCAGTTCCTATTTATGTATCCCATGATCAAATTGAACATAGACCGGCTTGGTGTTCATTGTCATCGTTTTTGAGTCAATGGTAGAGTCATAGCAAAATACAGCACATAGTTTTTTATTTGGTAATATATCTGGTTTTATACTAAAATTAGAACAGGTGGTTTACTTAAATGAGAAGGAAAAGATCAAGGGATGGCAAAACTTAGATGAAAGAGGAATTTCATCTGTTGGAATTTGTGAGATTGAATAAGAATTTGTTTTTTCAAAGATATAAAGGGATCTCTTATTCAGCAGGAAGCCAAGATGAATCTGGAATATGAAGAGTAAATGAAATTTCTAGAATCATGACACTGGATTTCATTACATTCTAAGTCTTGGGGGAAAGCCATATTTAACTTAAAAGAGAGGCTAGGAAATATGGATAAAAATCACAAAAGTAGGCCTATGTATATTACTCATAATTTTTTCCATTCAATATGCTTTTAAATTGTACTATTGATTAATGCTATATTGTGTTTTATTTTTTTCCAGAAACTTTTACTTGAGATAGTAATGGCATAAAAGGTCTTTGTTACATTTCAATATTGTTTTTTCGATTTTATAGGATATTGAACTTGAAATTTATTATAATGAATAGATAACAGAACTGGGTATCTCTCCCATGCCAGTATTAAAAATCATGTGTTTACTATGTCACATTCTGCAACCTGACACAGAGGATTAAAGTCACTTCAAAGAATTCAAATATTTTCATTCATAGATGAAATCCATAGGACAATACCCAGCATGGGAAAACATTTCGACAGTGGTGGATTTTATTCTTCTTGGTTTTTCAGATGTTCCTAAACTTCAAGGATTTCTATTTGGGGTGATTTTTATTATGTACACTACAATTTTGATGGGAAACAGTCTTATTATTATAATAACCAAGGTTGATGCTTCCCTCCAGTCTCCCATGTATTTTTTCCTCGGCAATTTTTCTTTTTTGGAAATGTGTTACGTATCAGTAACTGCTCCCAGATTATTATCAGATCTCCACAGACCAAACAGAAGTATTTCTTTTGTGGCCTGTGCTATTCAAATGTATTTCTTTCTGATCTTGGGTGCTACTGAGTGCTTTATTCTCACCGTCATGGCTTATGATCGGTATGTGGCCATTTGTAACCCCTTGCTCTACCATCTCATTATGAACAATAGACTGTGCCTTCAACTGGCAACTGTCTGTTGGGTCGGTTCCATTCCAGTCTACACCGGCTTCACCTATCATGTCTTCTCTTTGTCCTTCTGTGGCTCGAACCAGCTGAATCATTTCTTCTGTGACGTGCCACCAGTAGTTCAGCGAGTTTGTGGGGACATATTTATGACTCAGATGCTGATTTATATAATTGCTTTTCTTGTCGTCACCATTCCCTTTATACTGATACTGGGCTCATATGTGAATATTATCTCCACTATCCTGAAACTGCCGTCAGCTACTGGGAGAGCCAAGGCCTTCTCCACTTGCTCTTCTCACCTCACGATTGTAATTTTATTCTTCGGATCAGGAATTATTGTATACTTAAAACCAATATCTAGTCCCTATAAGGGCATGGAAAAGATATTTTCTCTTATATATACCATTGTCATACCCATGTTTAATCCCTTGATATATTGTCTGAGAAACAAAGATGTTTTGGTGGCACTGAAGAAATTTCTTATGAAATCCAATGACTCAAAAACATAATATTTTGTATTAATTTTGGTTACTTTTATATTTGTTTATGAGTTTTAATTAGGTTATCTCAATTTTTTCATTTCACTTGAAATAAATTTTTGTTGTCAGTTTTAAGAAATCATGTTATCCCAAATATCAAAGCAATGTATGGGTATATCTAGTATATATATATTTATATATATATATATATATATCAACTCATTTATCTATGTAGATCTTGGTGTCTACAAAAGTGTCATTAAAAGTGCAATTACTCTTATAATTCCTTAATAGAGTATTATCTTCTCTAAAGAATTTTTTAATCTATTTAAAATATTTCTTCAAAAGAAATGTGTCATATGGAAAGACACTATATATATAAGTCATTATAAAATTTAAAGAACTGCTACTGAAGATTTTTCAACTACTCATTACTAAAAATTTTATTATTATATCAAGTAAACTGATATAAAAGGAGATAGGAACAGAAAACAACAAGTGAAGTATGGTTTATATGTTAAATGAATTATTGGGACTAGAGCAATAGTACAGTGTGTCAAGTGCTTGCCTTGCACATGGCTGACCTGTGTTCCAACTGTGAAATTTGGTGCCCTGAGCCAAACATGAGTGAGTCCTGAGTGCAGAGTCAGGAATTAGCCCTGAACACCAGTGGGTGTTTGCATTCCATCTGTTTTTTGATCATTGCACTGTTCATTTCCTAAAGAAGCTTAACATATGTGAAAGCTAGTATGTGATCTTGCTTAGTTACAGAATTCAGGCTTAATACTTATTACTGTTTACCTTCATGCTTACTTTATTCAACAAGAAACAGTTTGCAATTTTGATCTAGAGGTTTTAAGTATGCATTAGAAAGGATATAAATAAGGGCTGGAGCTATATTACAGCGGGTAGGGCATTTGCCTTTCACACGGCCGACCAGAGTTCAATTCCCAGCATCCCATATGGTCCCCTGAGCACTGCTAGGAATAATTCCTCAGTGCAGAGCAAGGAGTAACCCTTGAGCCTTGCCGGTGTGACCCCCCACCCCAAAAAATGAAAGGACATAAATCCTGAGGTAATGCCATTTCGGTAAAGCTTCAAAATGTTATATAAAGCATAATAATATTTAAAATATCAGAACAATTTGTGAAATACTGACTTCTGTTAGGACAAAAAAAATCAATGAAAGAAGAGTACTGAGTACATAATAATAGTATCAAGGAATGTAAAAGGGTTGAGAGATATTATATGGATAGGTACATGGATTCTAGAGATCTACATAGATAAATGACAGAAGGACTGATGCATGGATACATATGTGATTATGTGAAAACACTATACATATTGGTACTTACAAAATCGAAAGTAACACTAATGAAGATTATTTTTATTTTGACTTTTATTACTTTTATTTTTATTTTGTTTTTATTAGTGCTGGTTTCATTCTTGGGGTGAAATCAATTCCTTCTTTATCAGAATTTTATAGAGTTTTAATTACAAAACAAAAGCTTGGCATTTAATTTTGAAATGTTAAATTTGAAGGTTAATACTACCAATTTGATAAAAACCTATGAGTCCTGGCCATCCTTTCCACATTGTCTTTCTTCCACATGATCTGTATTCTAGAAAGTTCTTGGCATCAACCTTCCCAGTAGCCTAGTTTTCTGAGGGCGAGTGCATCAGCAGCCTGATGGTGCCTTTAGACTTCCTGATACCCCAAAATTGCCACTGTGCCTTTGGCCAGACCCCAACAACTTTTGGCCAGTTTACCAAGAAACTAAACGGCCAAAATTAGGTATGAGGGAGCCATGTTCACAAACAACTTCTAGATCAGCTACACAAGCTCATTTATTGGTTTATTTCAGAGACCCATAAAACTTGAAAGAGATCAAAACCCACAGTTAGGGCCAGCGGCATACTGAGTTGTAGGTGAGTGGTGGCACCATGCAGGGCATAAACCAATTGTTTAATTAAGTCATCTGGAAAAGATAAAAACAAGGGCCACAATCCAGAGACATACAAAAGAATCTCTGAACCGAGCAGCTCGCTGTACAGATGCCTCCAGAATTAAAGCCAGGTCGACTTCACAGGGGTGCCTCAGATGGGGGCAGGCATCATCCTTCATCCTGCTCCTAAAAGCTCCAGTGGCTGCCAACTTCCAGAACCCAAGGAAAAGTTCAGGTATGTGGGTTCAGTGATGGCAAACTCCAGGCATCAAAGGGTAGGAGGTTGGCAGGTCCTTCTCATCCCCCTGACCCTAGAGGTCATGCCCACAAACCTCCTGTGGCTGCTACTTAAGTTCCTTAATGACCATGATCCAGAGACAGACAAAGAATCTCCAAACCAAGCAGCTTGCTGCAGAGATTTCTCCAGACCTTGATTATCTAAAATTTTAGAATGCCAGGAGAGCATGGTCCCAACATCTTATGCTATTCATAACAAGCAACACAAAGGAGATTATGGGGAAGATTGTCTGCCATAGAGACAAGGGGAAGGGTGGGATGGGGGAGAATACTAGGGACATTGGTGGTGGAGGATGTGCACTGGTGGAGAGTTTGGTGATAGATTATTGTGTTACTGAAACTCAAACCAGAAAGCTTTGTAACTGTATATCACAGTGATTGATAATAATAAAGATAATAATAAAATTAACATTCAAAATTTAAAGAAAGTAATGTGGAGCTCATGCTCAATTCAGTCAGCTTAATCAATGGCTGAATAAATAGCAGTACTCCTGTTGTTCGTCAATTGCCTCGAGCAGGCACCAGTAACATCTCCTTTTTCCTAGCCCTGAGATTCTAAAAGAGCCATATTCAATGCTCTTTCAGGGTTAGGAAAAAGAGCCCCATCATTGTTACTGGTATTTAGCATATTGAGTATGACACAGGAAGTTTGCCAGACTGCCTTGCAGGCAAGTTCCTTTCGATAGCCTGCCGGGTTCTCAAAGGAAAAATGAAATAATAAGATGCTGTGCAGTCGCAAATGCGGATGCACACTTCCGGGAGCTGGGTTTTATAGTCTCTGCGTCTTGACCGTTGATGGGACCAACCTGGCGCTGGCGGCAGCTGGTGGGTGTGATGCTATCTACTGGAAGATGGGAGATCTGGGTGGAGAAGGCCCAGTTCCAATCCGAGCAGGCTTGGCGATCTCAGCCCCAGGACCGACATGCCTGGGTTCCTCTGCCAGTTCCTTCATGCATGAGGCTTGTCCAGACATGTGGAGAGTGGTCTCAGCATGACTGTGGCTGATTCTGGAGGTCTTCGGCTGCTGGGGCTTTGCTCGGGGAGGGGCGGGGGGACGAGGGAAACTCAACCCACCTCCCTCCAAGGGGCCCTGGTGAGGACAGACAGGCGCAGGGGCAGGAGACTCCGATTCCAGCCATAGCCATGCTTAAGACCACTCTCCTACATTATCCCTACAGTACTCCTACATTAAAAGAAAATATTTTTCTTGTTTTGGTTTTGTGTTTTTGGTTATTTTTAGATCCCATTTGATGATACTCAGGACTTACTTCTCTGTGATCAAGGATCGCTCCTGATGGGGCATAAGAGACATTATGGAATTGAACTGGATTTGACCGTGGGTTGGCCACACACTAGGCAAGTACCTTGCCCTGTATGCCATTTCCCAGCCCCTCCTTACAAACTCTATTAAGGGCATAAGTGATCCTATTGGACACTTCCACATATCATTAAAATAAGGGTGCACATTATCACTTTATAGATATTTATAAATTATATGTGACCTGATGGATTATCCCCTAAACATTCTATACTCCTATTTGTATATGCAATCTGATTGATCTTTCTAGTGGGACAATTGCAAAGCTTGTAACCCGTCAAAAGAAACAAGGGACAGAGATATGTAATGTACACAAACCCAGAGAAGGGGAAGAGAAGAAATGATAAGGGGGTAGAGAAGAGAAATAGTGGTCAGATGAGTGGCAAACAGTGAGCAGAGTGAGAAAAATGATGGTCAATGCTGCTGTCCTGGACATGGAGGTTCCTATTTCTATGGTTACTGCAGTCTGTGGAGACCCATCTGAGTTCTAAAATTAAACTATTTACATGATGCTCGCCACAACCATGCCTCCAACCCCATGCCAGGTAGTTTCACTCTGAGTACCCCAGAGTGGGGCAGTTGAAAGCCCTCTTCCCACAAGTTTACCCAACCCCGGATGCCAAAAACTCCCAGAACTCATCACCACCATATGGCTGCTCTCCACATGCTTGGGCAGAGACTCACATAGGAGTGAACCTATTACTGAACCGTGTGGACACAAGTAATCTTAATCATGGCTGTGGCTGGAACCGGAGGTCTTCAGCTGCCGGGGCTCTGTTCAGGGTGGGAAGGAAAACTCAACACACCCTCCTCCAAGGGTCCTGGTGAGGACAGCCAGACACAGAGGCAGGAGACTCCGGTTCCAGCCACAACCATGCTTAAGACCACTCTGCACACGTTCGGATGAGCCTCACGCATGAAAGAACTAGCAGAGGAACCCAGGTGTGTGGGACCTGGGGCATAGATCTCCAAGCCTGCTCAGATTGGGACTGGGGCCTCCTCTACCCAGATCCCCCACCTTCCAGTCTGTAGATGTTACACCCACCAACTGCCGCTGGGAGCTGTGTAATCCCATCAACGACCAAGACCCAGAGACTATAAAACACAGCTCCTGGAAGACATCTTATTATCTAGTTCTTACTCTTGAGAACCTGGCAGGCTACCAAAAGTATCCTGCCCACACGGCAGATTCTGGCAAACTCCCCATGGCATAGTCAATATGCAAAAACCAGTAACAATGATGGGTCTCATTCTCCTGACCCTGAAAGTGCCTTGAATGTGGCACTTTCTAAAATCTCAGGGCTAGGATGAAGGAGACATTACTGGTGCCTGCTTGAGGCAATCGATGAACAGCAGGATGACAGTGATATAGTGATACAGTGGACACAAATGCAACTGTGCCACACTTCATACCACATACTGTACACATACTCCAAGAGTACTGCACCACATTTGATAGGGTTCAAAGC